GGGGGGGGGCAAAGCAGAGCCAAGCCGCGGAGCACGTGGGCAGCGGACAGCCCTGTCCACTGCCCACGTGTTCCGCCGCTTTGCTTCCTCTCCCTGGTCTGCTGGAGACCAGGGAGAGGAACGGCCCCATTCGTAACTGCGGATCCGACATAAGTCAGATCCGCGTAACTCGGGGACTGCCTGTAGTGCATTATGGAAGATATTTGTTGGAATGGACTGTTGTAATCTACTATAGTCTGTGAGAAGTAATATCTCCCCTGACCTGCTTGATTCACATTGACTATTTAAATAGTTTATTCTAGTGTGTAATGCAGATTTTGCTCAGGTTCCATCATGTTTATTTTAGCAGTTGGTGGGTGTCATTTACAGGTTATATGTCAATATATGCCATAGAATGTGTATTTCTTCATCTCAGCAAGGACCATACAGATTCTAGAACAGTTCTTCAACTGGATTGCAGCTTTTGGGGCAGAACTCAGTCTTACTGACTGAAGGGGGTATGACTGTTTTGCTGAAGAGCACACCACTTCTGTTCTGCCTTCTCTTACAGCAAGGAGTTCTTGTTCACCCTGCCTGTATCTGTGATTTAGGATGTTCTGTTTTTTTTTTCCTAAGTTAAAATAAATTTTAAATGTGTAGTGCAGAAATCTGGGCAAGTGTTGTTCACTGGTTTTTCAGAACAGAAACATTGGATTCTTGGCTTCCCTTTCTTCCTGAAGTACTACAGCTCTGTAGCCTTGGCTTTTTTCTGCTTGATTGAACTAGAGGGAAAACTATATTCATGCACTTATTGCCCAACAGTGCATAGACAATAAGTTCTGCTTGTTTTGTGGCCAGCTCAGGAAGGGGTCACCCTAGTTGCCCTCTCCTGAGCCAATTAGAATCAGGAAGGCCCAACAGTGAAGCAGCAAGCAATCCCCTTGATCTCGCCTACTTTGCTTCATTTCCTCCAGGGAGGGAGCAGGTGACAGAATGATATGAAGGCAGTTCTCCCAAAGTAGAAATTGCTACTGACAGGTTGCATGAACCTGCTGCATTAGCCTCAGCAGTTTGTGATCCCAGCAGTGGATAATTTCTGTCTTCCAATGCAAAGCCATGGAAGGAAGCAAGAGAAGCTGGCCCAGATCTACCCAACAGAGCATTAACTTTGTAGCTGGAGACCCAGACTCCTTTTCCAATAAACAGCTCACAGTTTTATGGGCTGCTAGTTGGGTTTTCCGCCTCTAACAGCGCAGTGACACCCAGGCAGCAGTGAGATGTTTCCTTACTGAATCTCCAGTCCCTCCTCTCCCACTTCCTCCCCTTTCCCACTGGTGAGTCTGAGACTTGCACTTTTTTTCAAGGGGAATCTCTGTAGATGAACTGAGACAGTTAATTGCTCTCCCCTCCACCAGGACATGTCTTCAGGTGCCTTAACAGGTCTTACTCTAGCAAATGCAACATAAAGAGCCAGAGTGTGACCATCTGGGCACTGCTGAGGGCATCTGCTCAGGGCAAATTGCTCAAAACCACGGCTGCTTACAGCCCCAGACTGGGGACCTTTCCCAAACAGGTCACAAACCAGTCACATCGAGCGCTTCCCCTGCCAATCCGACCAGCAGGAAGCCTCACAAGCCAAACCCCTCAGACAGCCCAGCTCTCCTGTGCCACAATCAGCCCTAGACCTACACACAAGTGAGGGGTTATGGAACCCGATCTCACCTACCCTAAACGGATCCTCCCAGTCCCAAAGAACCAGCCACAGACCCCTGGACAATTTACACGCTGGATCTTACCCACAAGAGCACGCTGGGCCAATTATTTAGAATCTAAAATCGAAAGGTTTATTGATAAAAGAAAGAGAAGGTGGAGAGTGAGGTTGTTAAGGAGAATACGTTACATGCACCGATCACCAAGTTCTCGATGCCGGCTCTCAGCAGAGATGTTACAAACTGCTGTCTTAAAAGTCTCCGGTGTCCATCCTATGTCAGGATGGGTCAGCAATCCTCCCCGGCTCTCTGTCCCTCGCAAGGCTGCATCTGGGATCAGTAACAGAATTGAAGACAAGATGAAGTCTACCTCATGGCACTTTATATCCATTCCTGGTACCTTCCAAGCTGGAGTGTGTCACATGGTCAAGTGACCTGGTCAAGTGACCTGTCTGTGTTCCACGGGCCGGCAGCCATTATGCCCTGGCTGATTTGCAGGGTTCCAGAACATTCCTCAGGTGTGTATTGGGCACCGTGAGAGCCATTGTCCTTGGAGCCGTGCTAATTAGCATAGTCATTGACTGAGCAATCCTTCTTTACAACAGGCGGTCCAGGCCCATTGCTCTGTCTCAGGCAGAGAACGTTCATGGTACAAGCCCATGTTCATAACCCCACATACAGACATCACACAAGTACATGAGTAGCGCACACAGAATCAGTAGGACACAAGCTTCCATTTGACACCTCACATGGCACTCTATGTATATGCTTTGGGGCAAACACCTACCCCTCCCCCCTGAGTGCAGCAGAGATCTGGCTGCTCCCCTTAAAATCCAAGTTGTTGTCCTACATGCAGATGAATTGTAGACTTGGTAATTACCATAGTTAAAGAGACCAAAATACATGAAAAGTAGATATGTGCAAAGTAAACTGAAATAGTTGACGCCTGGAATAAACATGTGTTCTGCTTCTAAAACTGTGATGTATCTGACATTGATTTCCTGCTGGTTTTGGTACGTTTCACTCTTGACAAAGGGGGCACTTTCCCAAACCATTTCCGTCTGGTTTAGCCTTAACCAGTGTTAAAAGTTGTTGAAGCCGTTGATACCCCAAGATTCTAGTAAGCAGTCCTGTACTTAGTATTGCAGTTAGCCTTGTTTTTCATTATGTTTAACAAAAATAATTATGAACAATATGACATCCAGAGCTTTCTGAAGATTCAGAATTCTCTGGCTTTTGTACTAATTCAACTGTACTCACCCTACAACTGTAGTAAAAACTAAGTGCGCTTCTTCCCCTCCATTGCTTATGCTCGAAACAGCACGTATCATTTAGCTGATTGCGCATGTCTTAGAAGCTGCTAAACTTTCTGCCAGGGAACTGAGTAAACTTGCAGTGACCAATCACGTTGCGACACGCTAACCAGAAGGAATGTGAAATCTATAAAAGTTTCAGCTCAGGCGATGCTCAAGGTCGACCTTGCTTTGGGCACTGAGCTCCTCGGCTGAACTTGTTTGCAAACAATAAAATAGAGTTGGAGCCAGCCTGAAAGTGAGACTCTCTTCTTGAGGAAAACTGAACTAGCCTCCAGGGGATGAAACTAGCAATTTATGCAACACAACCCCTGGGAAATGTTGTAAACATAGTTAGTATAGACAGTACCTCAGTCTGATTACTAGTGCATACAACTAGCATGAATTCAGAACTGATAGTCTCTTGTCATATTAAGCCAAAGATATCTTTGGAGAAAACTTGTGATAGTTTTATAGCATGCTAAGGTGTTTTTGATACTGCTATCCAAATGGACCAACACACCAAAAAAGCTATTTGCCTAGGGCAAATCTCATTACTCCAGTGATAAAATGGTAGAGTTAGTACTCCATGCAAAACTCTGTATGGGGGGGGGGATTCCTAACCACTTTTGGCAAAGGAACAAAGCAGAAAAAAGCAGTATTAAGATGAATTAGAGCAGGTCATTTCCCTTGCTCTACTGAAGTGGAAAACAGGCTTGCATAATATGTCGGAATACAAATAAAAACAAAAAAACGTTTAGCCTAAAAGATACAAGAAACTTACACCGGCAGTGGAGAACAGCATAATGGGATGTAACGTGGGCAGTGTCCATCTGCTACGCTATAAACTATCTCCAAGTGAATGTAATCATCAAACAGGCTCCACTGCAGAGAATCCCACTTTGCAAACTCACCAGTTAGTGTACAAACCAGGCAAGCCAGTTACATTCTGCTTACTTTATTTCTGTGTGGCAGGTAACTGTGTATTAAAGCTGCCTGTTAATTATAGACCAACAGAATTTTGAAAAAAGCATAATTTTTTCTCTTTACATGACGTGTGCTTTTTGTTTTATCTACAGATTTTGGAAACGTTTGCTGGCCGCCTGATTAAAATTCGAGTTTTGGCCCAGCGTGATATTCCCAGCCTTACGAAGTACCAGATAATTATAGCCAGAGATCAATTTAGGAAAAACCCTTCTTCCCACAATGCGGTAAATATTACTTAGTATTGTTGTTTGGTGTATGAGTTTATTCAGTATTCAATAAACAGTAGTAACACTACTTCATTAACATAGTACATAAAATACCAATGGGTCTCAAAAATGCTTGAGTGGCTATAACTAGAAATTACCATAGATGTGCAGCCCCTGGGCTGGAATGTGCCAACTTGTGTAAATGCTCTCAACACCACTGCAGCACCAGTTAGGACAAAGAAGGTAGAATACGTTCATCTGAAGCTATAGATCAGTGGTCACCAACCAGTCTATCGGGATTGACTGGTAGATCTTGGAGCCTCTGACAGGGGATCCTGACAGGTTTGGCCAAGAGGCTATCTAATGCCGGCACTTCAGCTGCCCTTCCCCACACTGCTGGGCACTTCCTGCCCTTTGCCTTGGAGCTGTTCCCCACTCCCACTTGCTGGGCAGGGCAGGGAAGAGAAGGGAGAGGAGGGGCGCTGACGCCAAGGTGCCTCCTCTCCCACCCTGTATCCTATCTCCACAGAATGGAGGGGGGCACAACAGGGCCTGGGAGGGAGGGAGTTTGCTGGCTGCTTTTGAGAGTGGTGCAGGTCCAGGGCAGGGGTGAGCCTGCCTTAGCCCCACAGCACTACCTGTGGTAAGCAGTGTCCAGATAGAGCCTGCATCCTGCCCCCCTGGCCCAGTTAAAAAAAAAAACAAAAAAAACAAAACCTGCACCCCAAGTCCCTGCCCTAGCCCTGTGTCCCCCCCAGACCCAAACTCCCTTAGGCCTGTACCCTGAACCCCCTCCTGCACCCCAACTCCCTGACCCAGGCTCAGCCCAGAAACCCTCACACTCCAAATCCCTTAACCCAAGACCAGAGCCTGCACCCCAGCCCTCTGCCCCTGCCTGATGAAAGGGAGGAAGAACGGGGGAGGATGGAGCGAGCAGAGGCGGGGCCTTGGAGAAGGGGCACAAAGGAGGCCGGGCAAGGGTATTTGGGTTTGAGGTAGATCCTGGATTGCCCTTAAATTCAAAAAGTGATCTCCTGCTTGAAAAGGTTGGAGATCACTGCTCTATAAGGAACTAGACACATAGAATATAACTACCAGATTTCACTTAGGCCTGAATATTCAGCTCATGCATCTCCTTGTCTAAATTGCCTCAGGATATTTAGTAGTCACAAGTAGTCTGCCCTAGTCTATCCTTTGTTTATTCAGTAATCCAGGTGACAGCTATACACAGAAACTCAGTCCATTTATGACTTTCCAAAAGTCCTGTAAGTGCCTTAAGCATATCAGCGAGTGTAATTAATAACAGCCAATATAATTTAATTAAGTCAAGATGCTTAGCTTAGCTTGGGTAAGTGTGAAGAAAATATCACCCTGCCAAATGAAATAAGCAGTACAAGCAATAACACAAAATGGAATTCCCTTGGTAAGTCAGATAGTTAATTCTTCCACGAGGACAAGTAAAACAGCTTTGGTGTGTTTTGGAAATGTGTTTACCAATGTCAGTTATCTCAATTTCTTTATCAAAAACATGACTCCTTTGAGATTGAAAAGTTCCTTTTTTTCGTTATTAGAAAACTTTCCCGAACAATTTCCAGTCTGCTTTATGAGGATTTTGGGAAACAAATCACCAATTTAGTATTGTATTCTTTTGCAGGTGTTTTTCAGAAATTTAACTGATTTTTGGCATAAAAAATTGCAGTATGATTCCTGTTGTTTATTCACCTTTTTAGTTCAATCCAATGTGTCAAAATTTGTTTTCTTAGGGAATACAACAGGGCATCATTGAAGGAGATTTTGCTCTTTGCATTAGTTTGTATCATGGTTATGAGCTACTGCTGCAGATGGGAACACGATCCTTATTTATCTTCTTGTGTGGAATTATGGATGGATCAAAAGGTAAAATGCATTCACAAACAGACTTTCTCTACCCCTCATTTCCTCCTCCAATTTAATTTTCAGGAAATAAAAAATGTATGTTGAGTGCCATGTAAATAAGAGTAATCACCTTTTTTTTTCCTGAATAATTGTAATGACAGTTTAACAAATGTGTTCCTAATGAAATTTCTGTGTGCTTTTTTGCAGCTTACATTTTGATTAAAATATCATGTTCAACGTAAGCCTTTAGACATCATCTATAGGTGAGATAGTGTAGTTAGAAACAATTATGTTTGTATGGAGATAGCTCAGTGATGTATGGGAAAGATGGAATCAGAGTTCAGAGCACGATACAGCAATAGACCAGAAAAGATACCGAATCAACAAGTAGAAGGTCTGTGCAGAAAAGATTAGGTCTTTAAGGCAGTATCAATG